ATATGTTCATAGTAAGGTAAAGAAAGGTGACATGCATGTTCATGCTGTTTATCCAGTTCAAGGAACTTTAATTTCTCATTACTTCTCAGAGGATGAGCTAAGGCCAATGCTCCATCAGTACCAATGCTAGTGTGGAATACAGAAAGTGTGGAGAGGGAACCATTGTAACGCAATAGCTCAGCCAATGAGCCAGTACTAGCTGAAGTTATGCTTAGGTTTCCATGAAGATCTAGACACTGGAGTGTCACGTTATTCCTCAGTGATTCTGCTAGTGTCATCACACCATTATCCCCAATCAAGTCATTGATGATTGATAGTGTCTTTAGCGATTGGTTTCTTGGTAAGAGAGATGCAAGGGAAACAAAAACTGGAAAAAAAAAAGGGGAACTTGCACAATACACTAGCAAATGTTTGTAGGTTGTTGTCATTACCAACAAGGACCTCTCTCAGTCCTAGTCTCGCTAGCCAGACCATTCCCCAGCCTGGGGAATGGTCTGGCTAGCGAGACTATCTCAGTCCCTTTAGCAGTTCCTCACGTTGTTTAGTGATGGAGGGACTAGCTGATTCAACATTGCTGAGTATCTGTCCTGTTAATGCTGTTATTACTAGTTCCCCGTACAATAGTCTCGTTACACTGACAGGATCACACAGAGAGGTAGAAAGGAGTAGGTAATGTTTGTTAAATATATCTTCAGATGATAGGGGAAAAGAAGAGGAAGTTGCCATTAGAGAAACAGGGCGTGGTCAGTCTCCAAATAAAGGGTGTGGCTCAATAATATTAATGCATGAACCATAGATATTAGAGTAAATTTCATTTACTCTAATATCTATGCATGAACATGAAAATTGTAAAATAAATCTTGAAGAAACTACAACAGCATAAATATTATACTATTTATACAGTATGCCATAGGATGTAATAAAAGTTTAGATTTTCTTATCTTTACACAAAATCCAATCTGTCTTTAATATGCTCATAATAAGGTAAAGTAGAACAAGCTTCTTCATGTTGTTTGTCTAGCCAGAGTGTCTGTAGTGCATTATTGGTCTTGAGTGATTCCATTAGTATCATTACTCCATCAGTATCAATGTTAGTATGGTGGAGAGAAAGTAGGGAGAGTGTGTTGTTAAAGAGTAAAAGTTCAGCCAGTGACTGAGCACAAGCTGAAGTGATGTCAGGATTGTAATAAAGATATAAGGATTCAAGTGTTTTATTATATTGTAATGATTGTGCTAGTGCAATGACTCCATCATCACTCATTGAACGATCAGTTAGGAGTAAAAGTGTTAATGATTTGTTGGTTGATAGTTGAGAAGAGAATGAGAGGATATCATCACGTGA